GCAGCTCTGCCAGGCACGAGTTCTTCAGGGTAGGCCCAAATGTAATCTGGGTTATAAAACGGCAGCTCTGCCAGGCACGAGTTCTTCAGGGGAGGCCCAAATGTAATCTGGGTTATAAAACGGCAGCTCTTTTATTTCTTTCTGATTATATAACTATTCTTTTTACTTTTTTTTTTTTTTTCCTTTAGTGAACCTCAGTTCTGTATATCTCAGTCCCTTTCTTTGATAGGAACCGCAGGGCTCAGGTACAGCCTTCTTCCCTGGATCATTATAATTAGCTGTGGTGATCGCACTTGATTGAAAACACGAGAAAAAGATCCCTTTGTCAGGGCTTTCATTTCCAGTTTTTCCATGTTTCCCAGCACCAGTACCTTCAAGGTAAGAAATAATTTTCATGAAAGTAAATGTATGTAGCATGTCAAGAGCAGGTATTATGGCCAAAAGACAGGACACGTGTTATCAATATACTACTTTTGCTTTTGTATTTTTGGTGCTGGGAATTGAACTCAGGACTTGGCGCTTACTAGGCAGGCGCTGTGACGCTTAGCTACATCCCTGGCCCTACTTTTTACTTTTCATGAAGATGATTTGTTACCTTGAAGTTACCGGGGAAAATGGAAAAACGTGCCCCTGTGCGTGTGTGTGTGTGGCGGTGGGCTTGCTTTAGAGTAGCTGCTTGGTTCCGTCCTGGCTGTAGTCCCTGTCGTGGGCGCTTTATAGTAAACACTTCTGTGTGGTAACAGCACGTGGATAGGGAGTATCTTTTAGCGCCACTTGTGAGATGCAGGCTGCAGGTGGCTGCCCCCCCCCCCCATCTGGCTGCCCTGGGAGGGTGTGGATGCTATGTGGGGACCGGAACTGGGTACTCCTGCTCACCTCCCCAGAGTCCCCATGGCTCTTCCCTTGCAGACACAGGTGTGACTGGAAGAAGGGCTGCCTCCCTCTTCCCACATGTCTGTTTTTAACTTTGGTGTTTTGATAAAGAAGTGGAGCTTTGTTGAAGTCAGGGCCTGGACACAGAGGCCTTTCCTCTCGTGGGACACCTACGTGCCAGGACGCTTGCGGAACTTCCTCAGTTCCCGCTCTCCTTTCTGCAAGTGCTGGGGTTTGGGGAAGGCTCTCACAGGTCACTCACCTTCTCAGGCTCCTGCAGTCCTGCTGAGGGGTGTGCACCGCCCCCTGCTCCAGCGGCTCCTCGCTCTGACTCGGGTGTCTGCGTCATGGGAGGTGCAGGCAAGGCAGTGTAGAGGAGGTCGGCTCTCTGAGGTTCTGAAACACCGCCCAGATGACGGAGCAGAGCAAATGCACCATTCGCGTAACCAGGAGGGACACGGGTCTCGGGCATCTCCAGGTCGGGCGGAGCTTGCTGGGCTTCCTTTCCCATTTTCCTTAGGCTGGTAAAACCATAACAGTGTGAGTTTCGAGAGCAAGTGAGTGGCTGAGGAAGCCGCAGTGCCTGCCTGCAGCTTTCGAGACAGTGTGAACCCCGCTTTGCAGATGGGCCAGGGCCTGGGGCCCGAGGCCCGGCTGGCCTCTGCTGGCTTCTCACCATAGCTGAGGCTGCTGGGCCTCTAGTCAGAAGCTGACCCTTTGGGCCCCAGATTTAGCAGGGCCATCGCAGGGCTGGCAGCTGTCTCAGTAGGAGACTCCCTGGTGCGTCAAAAGCCATGCTTTGACTGGGGACCAAGGCTGGCAGGGTCAGTCCCTCGGGTCAGCTGGGTTAGCGCCTGTTGTGCAGTGGAGGCCCAAGGACTCTGTCAGAAGCTGCATCAGGGCAGGTCTGAGAGTGGCTGACCCTCCCTTGCCAACATGCTCACATTAGCACCCTGTGCTGGCACTCCAGCTGGGTGGGGCAGCTAGCAGGGTTGCTCTCCGTGCAGCTCTGTGGGTGACAAGCAAGCCTGCCACTTGTGCTTTCCTGTGAGGGAAAGTCTCCAGGGAGTCCCTGGCGCAAGTGCAGGATGCCAGGGTGGACTGAAGGCCAAGTTTGTTTAGAGCAGGAGCAGTCGAGACCTTTTCTGATGTCTCCTTGCTCAATAAGGGAGAAAAGACTTGTTTTGTGTTTCTCTCCAAAAGTATCTAAGTGAAAGATGTTTCCAAAAGCTTATTTCTCAGACCGAAGAGAACTGCCGGGACCTTCACACAGGGCTTCCGTGGCCTTGTGTTCTGCTCTGCTGGGCACTAAGCTGGGCGAGCATCCACTGTGTTCCCGAAGACAGGGCTCAGGAGAAGAGGTGTGTAGGAGGCGGCGGCATGGGGGCTGCGGTGCTGACGTTGTCTGGAGCTATCCCAGAATGGGTGACCGAGCTCTGCTGTGGTCCTGCGGACTGTGCTCTGCGGAGACGCGAAGCAGCCTGGTTCCTGGGTGAGACCAGCGCACTTGGGGAAGTGGCACTAACGTCTGTCCTGGCGGGGTGGGAAGTACATGTTTCTCTAGCAAATGGCCAAAAATACATGGGAAAAAGAAGCAAGGTGGCTTTTTCCAAGCATAGGTTACATGATGTTGCTACCATGTATGACACTGGTATCTGAATGTGTTGTAGACTTTTGTCTATGTTGTGTAGGTGCCGATAAAAGTGTTTCCCCATTCCCCATGGCCAGATGCGTGTGCCTCTGCTCATTGGTTCTAATCTGCTTGAAGAAAACGGCCTGTGTTTGTGTAGAGAAGAATCTCCCAGAGTGAGTCCTTGCTCTCCAAGAACTAGGGCCGACGTAGGGCCTGAGAGTCCTGCCCCAGGGCTGGGAGTTTGCGTTTCACAGTCTGTGCTGTAATTGCACTTACATCACAGCACTGTATCATTATCCATTTAGTGTCGTTTTCCCCAAAGTACAACACACTGCTAGAGATGATTTCAGTGGTACTACAAAGCTGCAATTTTTAATATTGCATCATGGTGGGAAAATTGTCCTTTCCTCCAGACTTTACTGGTTTTATGTTGCCTTCTGTAAAACTTTGTGGTATTATATGTTATATTCATCCTATATTTCTGGTGGTCATAATAGCTTTGTATTCATGTTAGTAATTTAAACAATTTTCTTTTTTAAAAACAAGTCTTACTCAGATTTGTACAAGTCATTTTAAA